AATTTAATTTAATTTGAATCCTTATCAACACAGACTGGCTTCATTCACTTCCTCCACTGCTGTATGCTAAAATAACTAGCAGAACATCGACGTCGTTCAAAACTCCTCCTTCTGTTCTCTGATTGGCCCGGCTAAAAATCTGCCAGTGAAATCCTTGTCTATGGGAGAAGTCCCAGACGGAGCAAAGGGAAACTAGAACTGAGCGGAGCTGTAGGAAYGTAATGGCCAGGCTATAAGAACATTTTACTTGGTAAGATTCTTGAAATACTTGATTTGACTCAATTTTTTCTTATTTCAAGAATCTTACCAAGTAAAATTTTCATACACTGTGTCCCAACTTTTTTGAAATTGATGTTAAAAATAAAATCCCTAAACAACATATTTGCTGTACTCACCAGCCACCATGTCACAGAAGACGTTGAAAGGTTCAGAGTTTTCTGGTTGGATTGTGTAGACCCCACTGGTGGTCTCTCCTCGCAGAAACAGTTCATGACAGTCTGCTGCCATGTCTGGAAGAGCAACAAAGATTGTGTCGTTATATTTCCCCTCACAGTAAACATGAGTGATGAGGCTGTTTCCTGTGATGACAACACTCATTTAGGATTTTTCCAAACCTAACAATTATTAAAGAAATCTGAACGTAATTACAGCAGTTGGACAGCTGTTCATACTGAACACATTTTATAAACACATTTTATATTTAAGTGAACTTGGAATGTGAAAATCAATTCTGAATTTACCCTACATTGATTGCTTGTATTAAGGCAATTACAGATATCACTATAGTGTGATTACTCACTGTAACATTGTGTTAAATATTAATTTGAAGTTGTTCACACTTCATAAGTAGGTCAGAACTGAGGCCAACTTTCACATAAACAGTTAAACATTAACTGTTCATCACACACAGACACACAACATTGTTAAAGCAACACAGAGAAAAACTCACTTATCATCATTAAATAACAGAAACTCAGATTTAACTCTGTTTCTAACCATAAAAACAAACAGTGTCAACATTTTCCACTACAGCATTCATCAGTTTGTTTCTCCTACTAACAGAAAATWGAAAATCTTGCCTCTCTGATCAGAAAATTTAATCATTTCAACTTCTTTTTATGGTTTAGCCTGCACCAAATATAAAAGCCTCTTGAAACCYATGAACTCACATTTGTTAAAAACCTCAAACAAAATAATAACAAAATAAACTAGAAGCACTGGGAGAGTGCAAACCTCCACCAAGACCAGTGTCCTCCATCCTGTCAGAGTTAATGTGTAAC